TGGCCCTAGGAACTCAGAGTTAACTGAAGGGTTGAGTGTTTACCCCCCAGATCCCCATCTGTCCTCACTTGAGGGCTTCTTCCTGAGACAGGAACTCTCTATCACTCCGGCTTGCCCTCTGTGTGACCAGAGTCTGCTGCTGAGACCAGAAATAAAGCCCCAGACAAAGAGTTATGGGCTTTTTGCACACAGAGTTTAGAGTGAGAAATAGTAAGAGAGTTAGTGGGGTCAGCAGAGTGAGGATACATCTGGGGAGGCGGTCAGGGGTTAGATCCTGGGGATGGAAAGCCACTGGAGGGTATCAAGAAGAAAATGACATGATTTGATTTAGATAAAATATCTCACTGAAGTGTGGGAGGGGGAAGTGGGGGGCTGCCATTGGTCTCCTGTCTTTAAGCATTGATTTCCTGGAAAGGGACTGAGCAATGGTTGTTTCTGTTTCCGTGTAGAAGGCATTTCCCAGATCCAAACCAGAGGGATCAGGATGCTGGATCTTTTAATAGCACATTGGCCAATGAAACGATAGAAGGCAACTCACCTCTGCCCCCTCACCTCCACTTCACTTGTTTTGCTTTTGTTCCTTTATCCCAGAAAGGTATGGATTTTCCTCTGTTCCTCCCTTATCCACACCACTGGCTGGCCCAGTGGATGCCAAGAGCTGTAAGTTTTTGCTTTGCCTTTTAGTTGCCCCTGTTCCAAACAAGGCCTGCACCCACCTAGGTCTGCCTGGCTTTCCTCTTCTGGAAGGTCGGCCTCCTGCCCATCTCCCACCTAAGCACATGTCCCCCGTGCCCTAGCCACCCCAGTCCTGTAGCCTCCACTCTCTACACCCCCATGAAACCCCTGTCCTGCAAGCCAGGGCTCCCTGACCGTGCATTGCTTGATCATTTGCTTTTAAATCCAAATGTGCCCATGAGTTGGTGCGAGCGTCATTACATCTTCTAGCGCACAGGAGCACTTACATACCAAAATAGTCATGCTTGAACACTTACATATTGAAATAAGTATTATGATAGTTTACTTTCCTTTTATTTTTTGTTACTCTTTTAGTTAGGGCTTTACATTTATTTTCTTTTTGAGATGATATATGGGTGGTTAGCGGTGAACTCTGTGGCTGGCCCAGGGGGCATTACTAAATATCTGTTAGAAAAAAATGCCCATTTTTTTCTGATTAAAACCACTATTTTAAGCAACCCTTAAAATCCACTTTGAAGTTGGCTGCAAGTAGGGCGACTGCTCCCTGGTTTGCCTGGAACAGCCCTGGTTTGCTCCTATTGTCCTGGCAGAATTATTAATTATGTCCCTTTCAGTGTCAAGAGTCCCTATTTAGATGATAAGTTATATCATCATGTATTTTGGAAGCATTTCGTCTCCTTACCATCTTGATCACATTATTCCCCTTGTCAGCAGCATTCTGTGTCCCAACCCAGGCTCTCTGTATCCTTTAACAAAAAGTGCTAGCTCCCCACTGTTGAACTTTTCACTCCTAAAACCTGCCAGCAGCCTTCTCTTTTACTCGTCCTTGAAAAATCTAAGCGAAATGTTTAAATACTTCCAGTGCCTTGGCCTTTTATTCCCCCCCTCACTAACTCGATCCTGTCTTCACCAATTCTCTTAACTTACTCTTCTATTTTTGGCATTTCCATCCTAATCCCCTTTCCGCTTATTTTTCTCCATAACCTTACTGTTCTGCCAGATTTTCATAGTTTCACAAAATTAATTTTGCCTTATCTGACAACTTGCAACTTCACATTTTTGCCTATAAATAGATCTTATTAGTTATTTTAGCCCAAATTCTCTTTTAGTTTTGATGTCAACTCTCTGGTGTTAACTCACATTAAAATAAGCACCCCGTTCCATTTCTAGCTGACTGCTTGCTCTGTTACCTTTGGATCCTACCATAAACTGCTCTCACCCTGATACAGAAGTACCTTCAAACAGCATTCTTTTGCTCTTCTTTTAGGCAATGTCATATTTTTGCTTTTTTTTTTTTTTTTTAAGGAGTAAAAGAATTTTAGCCTTTGGATTAAGATGTTTAGCTCCCAAGAATCTTAAAAATGCTTAGTCTGTTTTTTATTGTGGTTAAAATACACATGGATTTACCATCGCAACCATTTTCAAAGTATACAATTCAGTGGCATTAAGTACATTCACCATGTTGTGTGACCATCACCACCTTCTAGTTCCAAAACTTTTCATCATCCTGAACAGAAACCCCATCCCCCCATCCCCACTGAGCAGTCGCTCCCCATCTGCCTCCCCCAGCCCCTGGCAACCACTGATGTACTTTGTCTCTATCCATTTGCCTCTTCTGAACATTTCATATAAATGGAATCAGACGTCTTTTTTGAGTCTGGCTTTCTTCACTTAGCAAATTTTCTCAGGGTTCATCCATGTTGGAACATGTCAGTACGTTCCTCTGTGTGGCTGCATATTTCCGTGTAGGAATAGACCACATTTTTGTATCCCTTCATCAGATGATCAGTCTAGTTTTTATCAAATCTTTGTTCCGAGATGAAATGAGTGATACAGTAGCATGATAAATGCCGTGAATTGTACATAGGTATTTTTCAGAGGGAGTCTCAGTGATTGGGTACGTGGCTGATGCTTTGGTGTTTGCAGGTACAAGAGGCCCTGTTCGTCTGTTTGGGTGCCAGAATCTCTTTCCTTTTTTACTTTCCTTCTCCACCCCACCCCTCCTTTTTTCTTTATTTTTGGTAACTAGATCATGTCTTGTTTTTTTCTTTACTGTCGTATTTACAGGTTGTGAAAAATACAGCTGAATCAATTCCTCATAGTCCCATCACCCCAAAACAATCACTATTAAACATTTCAATATATTTTCTTCTGGTTGCTTTCCTGTGTTTGGATACTTTATTTTCTTTTTTCCTAGTTAAGATTACATTGAATAGATAATGTTGGAGCCTGCTCTTTTTTCATAAAATCCCTTTATGTCACAAGGATTTGACTCCTATGAGGATTGGGGCACTGTTCTGGATACTTCTGATGAATGAATAGGAAGTTCTGGTGGGGATATGGTTTGAGAGTCATCAGCTTATAGATGATATTTAAAGTGATGGGACCGTCTAAGACCTCCTGGGGTTGGGGGTGGGGATCAGCAGTGTAGAGTAAGGACCCAGGACTCAGCCCCGGGCCACTCCACATGCAAAAGTAGAACAGAGAACGTAGTTGAAGAAGAATAGGCACCTCATGAGAGCAGGAGAGTGTGGAGGAGAATGTACTTGGGAGTGGAATGGCCCCATAGCAAATGCTGTTGAGCACCTGAGTGTTGGGGGCGAGGATCCATTGGGTCTGGCAAGGCGATGGTCAGGATGAGCTCAGTGGAGTACAGAGGATCACTGCCCAAGTGGAACGTGCTGAAGAGAAAATGATATAATATCTTAACCTATTTCTGCCTGTTTTACATATTCTTAAACATAATTTGATGGCAGAATAAGATGTTTAATTGTACACTTTACTTAACCACTTGTTATCTTCCTACTGGGTGATGTTTACACTGTTTCTAATTTTTACTATTACCAACAAGAAAAATGAACAGCTTTGTAAACTTTCTTTTCTACTTCAAGCATCATTTCCTTTGATTTGAAGGCACAGAAAGGGAGGTTCTGGTCTAAGACCAGAGCATCTTTAGAGCTTAGGATTCTCGTTTGCTCCAGTATTTTCGAAAAGGACTGACTGGCTGGCACTTCCTCCAGAATCTGAGGGCGATTGTCTGAGGGGCCCCAGCATCTTGATGGCGATTGTCATTTGGGTCCTCCCAGAACAAGTTTCTCCTTTTATCTGCTTAGAAGTCCTTTAAACCTTGAACAGACTATTGAGTGACAAGAACAAACCCACCTTATGGAATGAAAACTATACACAACTCACTAAATAGTGACATTAAATAGAAATACATGTATAATAATTGTCAATCCACTGGAACTGTAACTTACCTGCGATGCTGGTGTTTGCTCTTAATCCTTTTCCACTAAGGTTCTTTAGTCCTTGAGCCAGATACAGCCAAGGGAAATACGCAGCCCCCATTCCCATGTTCCTATGCATTCATACAGATGCAATGGGTGCTGGAATTTAAGGAAGTTTACCCTTTTCCAGTAAACACCCTGCAAATTTCCCATTGCAGTTGCCTGCTGATATTCCGGGAATGACTTCCATGCTTTCTATGTGTGCTTTGGGTGGGGTTTTATAAACATTCCCAGCTTGTGGCAAAAAGAGAACAACTTCCAGTCTGATCACTATCTCAGAAATGTCCTCCTTTCCCCCTCCCTATTCCTCCAAAACACCCCACCACCTTATGGTCACTTCCTGTTCCTGGTCACATTAGGGATGGCCCCTCCCCGCTAGCAGCGCTGCCCCCCCCCCAGCCCCCCAGCCTGAGTGGGTTTGCTCTTTAACCGCTTCCTGTCCAGGATGACAGCACCTTACCCCCGACCTGCAGTGTCCGTGGTGCTGCTGATGCAGGTTCTGGTGAGTTCAGCACCAGTGATCTGCTCCAGGCCCGCAGGACACATCTTGCTGTTTGCTGGGCCACAAGTGCGAGGATGGAATGTTGCTTGTATCCAACGTGAATAGATCTGGTGAGAGAGATGCATGTACATCTCCCACCCTCGTTTCAGCAGGGTCGTCTTCTGGAGAGGTTCTGGATCATCACAGATAATCGCCGGAGTAGAAGGTCCAGTGGCATGTAACAGCTCAGCAGCATGGTTGAGTGGTCTAGGAAAGGTGCGCATGGATGCATTTCTGCCCTAATCCTGGCTTTGTGACTCCTTTTTCTCATCTGTTTAAGAAATAGAAGGACGATGTAGTACCAGCCTCCTTAAATGATGTATGTCAAGTATCCACCAAAGAGCCTGGCCCAGGACAGGCTCAGTCAGGGTGAACTGTTTCCGGCATTATCCCACCCCACCTCTGTGGCTGACTCTTCCTGAGCTTCGTTGCTCTGAGTTCAAGACTCTCTCTCTTTGTTTCCTACTTGCAGGGGGCTTTATGAAGAAGCATGGTCAGCCTGCTGTTTCCAAAACCTTGGGGTAAGTTGGGGGGCTGTTCAAGCCAGGGTAAGGGCGGGATTGACTTTTTCTGCTGACCTGACAGAACAGGTTTGGGGTGTAAGTCTTTTTGGGCATCCTGGGTTATAAAAAGAAAGCAGGAGCCTACTGGGATGTGATGTGGGTCTCACACAGTGCCTCCTGACCTGCTAGCCTGTGTGGATAGCCCCTTTGACTGGTCTAGCTGCTACATGCTGAGGAAGTTTGCTGTGTGCCCAATCTTCAGGGACCGCCGACAATCAAGGCAATAGTCAGACTTAAGTAAACAGACCTAGAAGAGGCAATCCATATGTGGCACTTCTTAGGGAAAGGAAACCTATATTGGTAAAGGTAAGTAACAGTAGCTGCTATAACAGGCAAGCCCCCAAATCGCAATGGTTTAACACGGGGAAAGTTTATTTCTTACTCAAGCAAAGTCAACTTAGATATTCTTGAACAGGTGGAGAACCTTGCCATCATCGTTCAGGTACCCGGCCTCCTTTCATTTTGCAGTTCCATCATCTCTTGGCCTTGGAGCCTCTCTTGGATCTTCTGCATCTAGCCATAAGAGTGGGCAAGAGAGAGTGTGGAGAATCTCGCAGGACTTTTTTATGGGTTTAGCCAAGAGCTGGCATATATCACTTCTGCTTGCGGTCTGTGGCCAAAACCCAGGCTTTTGGCCAGAGCTCAGTAGAATTCACATATACCTTACCACAAGGGAGGCCAGTATATGAAGTCTCGCTGCATGATCAGGAGGTAGAGGAAATAGGTTTTGGTGCTGCAGACTTTTCCAGAGGGTGCGTGAGAAATGTGTTTAAGGCACAGAATTGGGAAGGCTGCCTTTTGCTGGTCTCTGACCCAACTTAAGTGATATAGGTAGGGGCAGAGAGAAGATCTGAATTGCTGCTGGACTCTCTGCTAATTTCTTTCCAGGGACAGATTTGCAGCCCCTGCTGTGGAGACCCGTCCTAGCATCTGGGGAGAGTGCCCACCAAAGTTTGCTACCAAGTTGGGCCGAGCCATAGTCAAAGAAGGACAGATGGGACGGTTTTCCTGCAAGATCACTGGCCGGCCCCAACCACAGGTCACCTGGCTCAAGGTGAGATTTTTATCTGCCCCAACTCTGGCCCCGGCCTGGAGACCCTGAATGTGGAGGTTAGACTCTTGGACCAACAAGAGTCTGTCTTTCCAATCAGTCCCTCCGCTTGACTATAGATGGTTCTTCAGGGTTCTCTGTATGTCCGATAGCCATGCTTGTCCCTGCCCCTATTTGCACACTCTGCCTCTGCAACTCAGCCCACCATGTGCTATAATCCACACACTCCCCAAACAGCATAAAATTTCTGAGTCAGAACAGACCTGACCATCTCAAGAGAGTGGAATTTGAAGTCATGAGACTATGTTTCAAGCCACAGCTCCCTCATTCATAAAACACATGATGCTGGGCAAATCATTTGGTCTCTTGGAGCACTGGTCTCCTTATCTGTGAGGCACAGATGATGCCACCTACCTCAGAATACCTCAGAATACGGTTGGGAGTATTTCATTCAGGGCCGGGCAGTGTGAAGGCAGAGCAGAGGGGTGGGGGAAGGGAGTGGCAGCAGCAGGGGGCCTGAGGGGCGGGGTAGGCGTTCAGCAGCACAGTGAGGAGCCACAGGGAAAGCTTGGGGTCAAGGCCTGCGAGAATAGCTTTCTCACAGATGGGAGTCCTGGGTCAGAATGAGTGAAGGGACACCTTTTCCCTATTTCCCAGTTCTCCTGGACTGAGCCCAGGAAAAGAGTAAAGGAGAGGGAGGCAAAGCAGAGCTAAAATGAGGAATGTAGGATCCCCATCTCAAACTAGGCCTCCTCTGAAACAAGTTCATACACCTGCTTTAAGCCGGACCTGACGTCACACCACACACATGGACCTTGAGTCGGGGGGGCCCTTGGATTGTCCAAAGATTGCTCTCTGAGCACATCGACAGAGCCCAGGGCAGAGGGTTCTGCTGCCCAGGCCCGGTGTCCATCCCAGCGAGGCTTGGATAGTGCCAAAGGTAAGCAGGTTTCTCTGACCCAGCTGCCCTCTTGCCGTCCACAGGGAGAGGTTCCCCTGCAGCCAAGTGCCCGTGTGTCTATGTCTGAGAAGAATGGGGTACAAGTTCTGGAAATCCATGAGGTCAGCTGCGATGACGTGGGAGTGTACACGTGCCTGGTGGTGAATGGGTCGGGGAAGGCCTCCATGTCGGCCGAGCTTTCTGTCCAAGGTATCAAGTGGTGGGAGGGCTCGTACGGAACCCCCCTGCCTGGTGTCTGTACCCTGCCAGGGGGAGCTGCTGTCCATTACAGATCGTGTTACACTGACCCACCCACCTCCCCATGCGTTCCCCCAGGGGCAGGTGTGCCCCACACCTGTGTCTTCAGTCTTTTCTTCTCGCTCACATTCCTTTTTGTACCTCTAATTGCAACTGCCAGGAGTGGACATTGCAAATGCCTTGCCATCACCCCAAATTTAACCTGCCTCAAATTTAACTTATCAACCGCTCTGTCCTTCACATCAGGTGTTCCCTCAGCTTAACTCTTTCTACCGCAGAATTCTGCTTTTCCTCCTCACCTGGACTGGGCATTTCAGCATCTCCTCTGACCCTTGCCTCCTCCTTGCTGTAGGCATCAGCCCCGTCAGTTCTTCCCCGGAAATCTCTTTGAATCTGTCTCCTCTTTACATTCCCCTTGGTTCCGCCAAGTCCAGCCTGTGGAAGCGGGAGTGTGGGTGGCGATGGGGATTGACATCACTGCACTGAGCGGAGCGGGAACCTTGAGCAAGGTGGGATTTGGGGAATCGGGGAGGGAAACAACCTTCACGCTCCTCCCCCTTTCTTACTCTCTTTTCTTCTATGATTTTTCTCTTCCACATTCCCTTCCTTTTTCAGAAACTATTCCTCCTTGCTCTCTTTACCATTGTTGGCTGGAGTGTTCTTTATAGCCCACAGAAAGAAATTTATTCAGGACATGTGTATATAAACATATTTAACTGAAACAAGTTTCATGAAGCGGTCCTGAGTTGTACCATGCACAGTACCTGCTGGCATTCTCTATTCCATTCTGCACCATCAAAGTCCTGGTCTGGACTGAAGAATTAGACCTCACAGCTCACCGTGGGCTCGGACCCACTGTTAGGCATTGAGAAGAGTGATTGAGCCACTCCCCTTACTTGCCCTAGCGTTGAATTAAAGAACTGCTCCCCTTCCAAGTACTTAGTGACAAAATGATGTGTTGCCTGGGATGTGTTTTAAAATACTCCCCGAAGAAGCTCCTCTGAAAACCAAAACAAAAAGGAATAGAAAAGACAGGCAACACAGTGCTATTTCCTTAATCTGGGTGATGGCTTTCAGAATTGGTTATATCCTCTCTACTATTGTATGTTTTGAAATTTTCTGTAATAAAATTTTTAAAAACGATGTGGCAGGGAAAAAGAATATATCTATAGTATGTTTTTTTCTTTGAAGAACTGAATGCAATTACAGTTTTCAAACTGTACATTTTTAAAGCAGGTGTTTGTCAAAACTGATCACTTGGGAGGTTTGTTTTTGAGGGCCAACGTAAGTTAAACTGTTTGGGTTTGAAATTTTCAGGTGTTTATTTTGGTTTGTCCCTCGATTGGTTTCCTTCTGTGGCTGGTGAACGGGACAGGTCCCGTGGCACAGGGTGCGGTCGCCGAGGCTTCCAGAGAAGGCCCAGGGCAGCAGTGGAGGCCTTGACGGTGTCTCAGAGCGGGCCTCGGACAAGCTCCTCAGATTAACCCAAGCAGTTCAGCACCAGGGACGCTGCGGGAGGGGCGGAGGGAGGGACGAGCATAGGTGAGAGGCCAAGTGGAAGCTGACGAGGTGAACACTCTGTAAGAAATGAAAACCAATGCTGTCTCATCACTGTCTCCTCTTGGTACCTAAAAGAGTCCACTAACAGTCTCCCCTTCTCCCTTTTTCCAGGTTTGGACAATGCCAGTAGGTACGTCTAGGCTTTGTAATCACTGTCTCCATCTTGAGATGCCCTGCAAGAAAAGAGAGGTTGTAATGGAGAAATGCCCTGAATTTCCGAGTCATTGTATAGGAGGGAGAGCTGACAGCTGGGGGCATAGTTAGGTTTTGTTTTGTTCTCCTATTGCAATATGCCACACAGGCTCGCCGTCGTAGTGAGGCTCTCGAAGACACAGTGCTGTCGTCTTTCTTAGCGTCTGGCCAGTCCCAGTTAGCTGTCACTAGGAAGGGCACTGACTAGGGAGCCTGCCACGGGCCAGGCAGGATCTGCTCACCCATGTAGCCCGTCTTCCTCAGGAGCTTCCTTTCCCGTGCATGAGGCCTGGAGCTAGACGCCGGGTCTGCGGGGTGGGCAGGCGTCTGGTGGAGGGAAAGGGCTTTAAACAGAGCTGCACCAAGCCAGAGTTACAAGCTGCGGTGTGTCCGGGGCAGAGGAACGAGCAGCGCTAATTTAGATTAGAGGGTCAGAGAAACCCTTCCTGGACGCTTGCTGTTTGAGCTCAGGCTCTTGACGGGGAATGTTAGCCAGGTGAAGGAAAGTGCAGGGAGCATGCTCCCAGCAGGGCGGTAGCATGTGTGAAAGCGGAGAGATGACAGAGAGGTGGGCCCTGGGGGACCCAGAAGGACACTGGTGTGGCTGCTGCCCGGCAGGAGTCAGACAGTCTGGCGAGGTCCAAGAGGCAACGGGAACCAGCTCACGTAGGGCATCCTTGTGGGCCATGTTGTGAAGCTCAGTCTTATTCTCGGTGCGGTGCTGATCGGCTGTGCTTGCCATGCAGACCGTGGATCAGAGAGGGCCAGCAGGGACCGGGGGGAGGCAGTTGCGTGGTGGGAACTAGGGTGGCGCTCGGGGGGTAGAATAAAGGCAGATTGGATAAATGCAGATAGAACAGGCTCTGGATTGGGATGAGGGGCAAGGAAGTGTCAGGAATGGCTGCTTGCCCTTTGCCTTGGGAAACTGAGAAGGCTGCCGAGACACACTTTTGCTCTCACTCTGTCTTCATTTGTGGGCTTTTGTGATCACTGGAATCTGGGCTTGTCATGAGTAATGCTTGTGAGTAACCAGATAGCCATTCTATTTCTCCTTCTTCTTCTCCATTGCCCCCCACCCCAACCACCACCAAATAGGTCATTGGTGAGAGGAACAAAGGCAGCCAATTCAGATATCAGGAAGGAAGTGACCAATGGAACCACACAGGGGCCGAAACTGGACAGCCTCGCGTCTGCTGCCGAGAGAAAGAACTGCTCCAGTACCCAGAGAGGGGGCTCCCCGACCTGGGCCACAAGTAGCCAGCCTCCACCCCTGCGGGAGTCCCAGCCAGAGTCGTCCGGGGACCCACCGAGGAAGGCCCTGAGGAGCCCCGTCCTACAAAAGACTTCCAGCACCATCACCCTACAGGCTGCAAAAGTCCAGCCAGAACCAAGAGCACTGGTCTCGGGTGCCCCCTCATCTTCTGGAGAAGAGAGGGAGAGGCCAGCTGCGTCCCCCATAGCCATCCTCCCCACCAGGCAGTCTGGCCTGGGAAGCCAGGAGGTGATGAGCAAGGTTGCTACAAGGAAAATCCCCATGGAGAGCCAGAGGGATTCCACCTTCCCCAAATTTGAGAGCAAACCCCAAAGCCAGGAAGTCAGTGAAGATCAGACAGTCAAGTTCAGATGCGAGGGTGAGTAGATCTAAAGGTCACTGTCCCGTCCTGCCCCACCAGTGTAGCCCCTGGGTGGCCACTCCCTCCATCAGCACAGTGGTATCCACCCAGCCCCTTGGACTAGAACCCAGCCCACCCCAGAAGCCACCTTATAGGAAGGACTCAGTCTAGTAACGTGCCTTGTTCTGGAGAAACACCCAACAGTGGCCCATGGTTCATTGTTGGATATGGCATCGGCCCTGTGTCCTAATTCTAACCACCCTAGAGGGGAAAACCCATCATCACCATCACCATCAAAAAACAAGCCACAGGGGCTCCTGCGCTTTTCTCCCTTCTGCTGGCTTTGGCTGATCTGGAGACCTGGCTTGTCACCCTGTGTCCCTCCTCCCCACCGACCCTGCCTCCATCTTGAGAGGTTTACTCGTGCACAGTGCAGGGTGAGGGGTAAGAGAGCCTATTCTGCAGGAGGGCATCTCAAACCAGAATGAGCGTCTCCCTCAGGTCCAGCATCCTGCCTGCCCCACAAGCACAATGCACTCTCTGGGAACCTCATGTCCTTCACCTCGCCCTGTAGTTTCAGGGATCCCGAAGCCTGAAGTGACCTGGTTCCTGGAAGGTGCCCCCGTGAGGATTCGAGAAGGCATGGTTGAGGTTTATGAAGAAGGCGGATGCCATTACCTCTGCCTGCTGAGAGCGCGGGCCAGAGACAGTGGGACCTATAGCTGCACGGCCTCCAATGTCCGAGGCCAGATGTCCTGCAGTTGGACCCTCCTGGTGAAACGTGAGTACGCACCTCCAGTCACCCTGGGTTCTCTGCGGGGGGGCCATCCATGGGGTGCCTCCTACCCTGCAGGGGTATCACCTCCTACCACCCCCACGCAGGGTGTACAACCCGACAGAGGCATCATTCCCACCCACATGCCAAGGCCAAAGTCATTGCTCCAGGACAAGTGACTCCTGATGAGGAGTTCACATCAGAGTCACCTCAGAACAAGCATGCCCACCCCCCATGCCCAGCCCTGCTGACAGCTCCCTTTTCTGGGTTCCTCAGCTGTCCAAGGAGTGCCATGACTCACTTTTCTAACCACAGAGAACCAAACATTCCCTAAATATACACATTGAGAGTCATATGAGATGATGTGGGATCCCGCATCTTCTATGTTTATTGTAATATCTGTTTATAAAAGTTGTGCCTGTTTGTTGTGGGGGATTTAAACACAGTATAGTTTTATGACTCAGAAATAAATGTATTTTAATGTTTTTAAAACAAAATCAACATTGTGCTGTTTGTATACTGCTTTCTATTCTAACTTGCTCATGTTACATAAGCATCGTTCTTATACTACTTCTTTCTATATTACTTAATATTATTCAAAAACCTGATTTTAATGGCCATATAATCTTTCATAGAATAGTGTATCTGATTACGCTTGCTCTTACTGTCGAATATTTAGACTGTTTCCATTTTTTCACTATTGTAACAAAACTGTGATAGATATCTTTGTACCCGTCTCTCTTTAAAATTTCCTCATTTTAAATGCTATTCAGGGACCCTTGACCCATTGAGGAACATATTAAACCACAAGGATAGAGTCAGCAAATTTCAGGCTTTTAGAAGTTCAATGGACAAATAACCTTTGTCTATTTTTTTTTCAACAAATAAATTGCAAGAGAAAGAGGAAGGGAGGGACAACCTTTAGGAAACTTAGGTGAAAAGATACGTAAGAGATATCAGTAATCACAGTCTTTGGACTTTGTGTGGCTCCTGACTGAGACAACTTTAAAAACTTTTTTTAATGAGAACACCAGGAAAATTTGAGCATTCACAAGGTATTTGATATAATAGAATTAGTGCTATTTATAAGATATGATGGTGGTCTTGTGGTTATTTTTTTAAGCCTTTGTATTTTAGAGATATAAATTGAGTTATTTACTGGTGAAATGATACGATATTTGCTTCAGAAATAATCCATGTGTAGTGGGAGTTGGTGGGGCTACAAATGAAATGAGATCAACCGTGAGTTGATAATTATTAAATTTGAGAAACAAGTATATGATGATCCACGGTACTGCTCTCTTTCCTAGTGTGTGTATTTGAAATTTGCCACAATAAACATTTCCCAAAAAAAGAAAGGAAAAGAGAAGAACTTAGTGATTCATCCGTGCAGTAGGATTCCATGCAGCCAGTAAAACAAATATGGCTGACCTGCGGACTCTGATGGTGAAACATGTCCAAGATACTAGTAAGGGAGGAGAGCCAAGTGCAGAGCTGTGTGTATCATATGCTATTTGCATAAAAGGAAAAGAATCTATGTAGATATGTGCAAACAGATGCTTATGTGTGCATAAAACATTTCTGGAAGGGTCCACACGTTGCCTCAAGGAAAGGAAACGGGATGCTTAGGAAGAGGTGGGGGGTAGTCTTACTTCTCACGGCATGCATACTGTTGATTTATTTCTTAATTGGGATTTTCACTATGGTCATGAATTTCTTTGTAAGAAATCGTATCCATTCCATTTGGAGGTGGGAGTGCCTGTAGAGTTCACAAGTCCAAGCACCCGAGCCTCGTCATCCCAGGCTCTGTGCAGGGGACAGACACATGGCATCAGGTCCACCAAAGGTTGAAAACCAGCAGGCTTTTGTTGGAGTGGTTGTTATTACTATTAAATGGAAGCCGTGCATTGAGACTATACTTGCAGCAAGTTGGGGGTGAAAGAGAATGTGGTCTTCAAAGCTGCCACAAGAGCTGGGGCAAACAGGATGGGAATTAAGCAGGCCGCCAGCGTGGCTCTTCTTACAACGTCAGCTGTTTGTTTTTGAATGCACGCTCTTCAGAATGTTGTAAGCCTTTGGTTAATTTCCAGAGTTCTGAAAAAGTTGATTTCGACTGTTTTTGCCAGTGTTCTTGTTTCTTGTATGGAGGAGCGGATTTTCAGGAGCCCTTACTCAGCCATTGCAAAAGTACTTTTGGGCTCCCTCTCCCTCCTGGAGATACTGACTGTTCTAAAACCTTTCCGGATGACTTCGCCAAGATGCAGGCCACCTGATCCCTACTATCATGCTCTGGTGAAAACGGAAAGAAAATCTGCCTTTTTCTCAGTGGCCCCTTAAGCTCCCACTCTATTTCTCCACTGTCTTTCACCCCCAAACTCACTGCAGGTCTAGTCTCGATGCCCAGCTTCCATTTGATGGTAACAGCTAACACTCCACAAAAGCTTGCTCAGTGTGCCAGGCTTTGTGCTAAATGCTTTACCTCTGTAAAGCATTTAGTTATCCATTTTATATCCTTTTATCCATTTAGTTATCCCAGTGGTCTGAGGAGATAATTGTAGTCACACCCATTTTCCAGGTGGGAATACCGAGCTGTGATGAAGTTAAATGACTTGTCCAAGGTCACATGCCTGGTAAAAGATAGCATATTTCTAACCCATGTTGGTTTGACACGAAAATCCATATTTTTTCAATGGCTCCCAAAGGCATTTCCCTGTGAGGGAATGTGACGCTGGCTGGGAAAAGGGATAGAGGTGGCCACAGCTCTCGAGGTAGTCTGTCCATCCCTTTCCTCAGTGCCAGTCCCAGTCAGATGCCCCATTGTTCTGACTGAGCTGCTCTCCCCCAGCCTCCTCTCCCTGTAGGGGAGCTCTGGTGTGGAGGAGGAAGTGGGGACGCAGAGTCAGAGAGCGGGGTGTAAAGCCTGCCTTCGCCATTGGGCTGGACTATGAGAAATTACTAACCTGGTCTATAAAACGAGTTGAAGAAAGCGACCTCATGCCCTGTCACAGTCACATGTGGGAATGTCCCTGGCACATAGTAAGCCCTCCTGTACCAGTTTTTGTCCTTAAACCCCTCACCACTGCATGGGATAGCTCCTCCTGAAAGGCACCGCTGAGGCCTCTTCTAATCACCAAATCCCTTCCCCGTTCTCGGCTGCCAGCCACCTTGACGTTTCTGCCGCGTGTTCTGCTCGTGGAAGAGACGATCTGTCCCTATTGCTCTTAGTTAAGGCCCCCCCAAACTACAAAATGCTCCCCAGTCCCCCAATGCAGAGGGCTTCTGGAAAGCTCAGCTCAGTGGTTCTCAACGAAAATATGCATCAGAATCCTGAGGGAATTTAGTAATGCATAGTCCCAGGCCCCCAGCAGTCCCGAGCTGTTGGCCAAGGTTGGAAAACTAGGACACGTGTGAGTCTCTGTCATTTGATCCAGTCTTGGAATTGGAAAAAATAACACTTTAAAATTGAAATGTCCTCCCCGGTGGGCATATTGTCGCTGCAAGTACAAAGATATTCTCAAGGTTGTGCAGGTCCGATGGGATGTGTTAAAGGAGAGAAGGGGCACTGGGGAGTACAGGGGGACCAGGAAAGCAGGGAAGAAGGAGCTCTGCGGATGCTCCAGGACAGCAAAAGGCAAGCCAGGATAGGAGGTGCCTGAGACCCAGAGGAGAGGGGGCAGGCCCATGTCCTGAGCATTCCCAGACCTGGTCTGTTTTGTGACCGTGAATAAGCCCCTGCTGCTTTCTCGGCCTCAGGCTCCAGGTCTCCACACCCGTGGTGCTGCCTGCCTCCAAGCCAGGCTCCTGAGGAACCCTGGGTGCATCTGCCCGCGAGGCTCGGGGTGACTGCAGGGCCTCAGCAGAGCACGTCAACTGTGGTCTGAGATGGCTTGTCTGTCCTCTGCCCTTGCAGGGCTGGCCGCGACGGAGGTGGCACCCTCATTCTCCAGGGTCCTGAAGGACTGCACTGTCGTCGAGGGCCAGGACTTTGTGCTGCAGTGCTCTGTGCAGGGGACCCCGGTCCCCCAAATCACTTGGCTGCTCAATGGTGAGTTCCCCCCGCTCTAGGCCCCTGGGCCCTTTGGCCCCGCTTGCGTTCTCACTTGGCTTGCCCCATTTATCCCTCAGAAGCTACAGGGTACAGAGAGCTCACGGGACTGTGGCGTCTGCTATCGCCTGGCCGGGGACACCGGGCAAATTGCTATTCCTATCTGAGCCTTGAGCTCCTGCAACACATGAATAATGTCAGCTGCCTCCCAGGGTGGTGGTTGTGAAGTACATTAGATCCTTTATATAAAACAGCTAATGTATATGGGTGCACAGGCAGTTTGGTTCATTTATGTGGCCAGGCTCGTAGTAGGCCCTCAATAAATATTTGTTGAGTCAATAAATGAACAAATTAACAAATTAGTGAACCATACTAGAAGTTACTCATGGAACCTCGCCTTTCATTTAGTGGCAGTTGGTTTTGGGATTCATAGACAAGTAAGTTGTTGTAATGTTATAGTCCTATAGAGACATGCCAACTTTTTTTTTTGGCCAAGTAAGGCCTTTTGAAAAAATTAGTTATCATATATGATCACTCTTCTCTCGGTAAAAAAGCCTTTCGATTCCAAAAGTATGGGAGGACTCTAATTTTAGAACTGAGAACAGTCCATCAAATTGATGGCATTGAGCAGGGTCTGCTTTGGAAACCCCTGCTTTGGGGACCCACAGGGAGGATGAAGGAGGACTGCCAGTGAGGGGACCAGGGCACTTCGCCTTCTCTGCCATCTAGGGGTCGGGGGAGCTCAGACACCCCCCTTCACCTCTCCGGGCATCAGCTTCCTTATGAGTAAGGAGATGGGCTGGAACAGAAGGTTTGGGACCTCAGCCAGCTCTCAGGGCTGATCGAATAGGCTCCTTAAGGGACAACGGCACCTGTCACCTATGCACCAAATAGTCCCCAGCCGTTTCTACACTATTGACGTGTTACTTGTGAACCTTCCCAGTTGGTATAGTTTGCTTAGGCTTTGCTAGAGATTATCTCTGGTCAGTGAGAGAAGGTGCATATAGTCTTCCTGTGTGTCATCTTCTTGGGCAAATAAGTGACAATTGAGGTCACCCTTCCTTCCACCCCTCACTATGGACAGAGCTTCTGTCAGATCCCATGACTGACTACAAAGAGGCAGCCTCCTAGCAGCTGGAACAGAACACGGATGTTAAAGACTAGTAATGGATCTGAGTAAGAGAGTTTCACTTCCATCTGGCTCAGAGTCCAGACCCGGGGTCAAGAAACATTTTCCGTAAGGCCAGATAGTAAATATTTTCAGCTTTGCTGGCCATACAGTCTCTGTCACAACAACTCCACTCTGCTGTTGTGGCAGCACAAAAGCAGCCGGAGACAATATGTAGATGAATAAGTATGGCAGTGTTGCAATAAAACTTTATTTATGGACACTGAAATGTGAATTTCATACAATGTTCGCAGATCACGAAATATTTTCCCTTTGATTTTTTCAACGATTTAAAGTCTGTAACAACTATTCTTAGCTTTCAGGCTGTACAAAAATAGGCTGCAGGTCAGATTTGACCCGTGAGCAGCAGTTTGCTGATCCCTGGTCTGCACCCCTCGGGACCTGGAAAAGCTACCCCACCTTTTTAATTCTTGGTCAATCTTGGCATTTCCACACCGTTGCCACTAGAGGGCGATCGTGCTCAAGTTCCCCTGGCTGCTAACCATCTGGTCGTCCCAGTCTCTGGCCAGGGAGAGTTCCGTGTCTCCCAATTCTGAGTGCCCTGAGCCAGCAACTCCTTTCTGGGGCCACTATTCTATCCCATGTGTGTAGGACCAAAATGAGTTATGCTCCAGTAACAAAAGAGGTCTTAAACACTATGTTGGCACATTTCGACAGCACAAGCACTTTGATGGCAGTCATGAAATGTACTGGTATTCTCAAGGAAGAGAGGTGTTAGAGTGTCTTTTTTTTTTTTTTTTTTTCCCACAAAAAGCGAAGAGCAGTGTTCAGTCCTCTCAGTAGCCCGATCCTGGCCCCTGCCTTTCCCAGCTCCCAGCCTCACCTTTATGAAGGGCAGAATCTCTTCCCTCCCGCCCTATGACACGCTTGCTTGGCAGTCTCTGCAAACTGTCATGGAGACACGAGGTGTTGCTATGTGCAGAAGAAAACATTGCACTGCAGGGAGAGAACTTCTTTCTGTACTTTCTCCTTCCCCTCACTGCCCACCCCCAATTTTATGAAGTGCAAACCAGGACCCTGGGGCCTGACAAGGGAAGAAACTGACAGTCGCTTCCTATATGGTAAGCAGACACATTCCTGCTCTGAGGCCAGAATCTTCAGTAATGAGATTTTTTTTTTTTTCCTGGAAATGAAAGCTCACATCCTGGAATGATAAAGTCCCAGGGACATATAGCATTAAGGAAACCACTGAAGTTCATAGCATGCACTTCTATCTCCATGCAGGGCTTTATGTGACCTGAATAAAGGGCCTCTCGTGTTAGGGACTCTGGGAAGAAGGGGCCAGAGTCATTCTTAGTTTCCCATATTTATCTTTTCTTTT